ATGATGATAACTCTTCTACTGGGAAGAAAACGTCCACGAAAGCATAATGAAACTAGAGTTGTAACATCAAATTCTGTTTGATCGTTAGTCAAAACCAGACGGTTTTCGGTTAAACAATTTAATTTTTTTTTTTATAGATTTTTTTTTAATAATTTTTTTTTTTTTTTTTTTTTTTTTAAGATTTGTGTTTTAATTGGAAAATTAAAAGAAATCACAATATTTACAAATAATTTACATAATTGAAAACTCAATCATTGAACAAAATGTCCTTTGGCAAAGCAAGTTATCTGCATTGCTCTCTTCACCCAGTTGTTAGGTATGGTAGGATGCAAAGGTAATTGTGGTTGGACTAGCGACTAGCTGGAAAGCTCCCTAGGGAGTCTAGGATGTGCAGAAAAGTAATTGAAAAGGAATTGAATCCAGTAAATGGGGTAATGATGGTACTGTATTAAAGCGCTTTGGTCAATTAATGGTAAACTATATAAGAATCCGGTATTATTATTATTATTATCATTATTATATTTATTCTTATTCTTATTCTTATTTTATTCTTTTTCTTATATCTAGATCTCGTTTCAAATGGCAGTGATGCTTTGTGCTTATATTCAAAGTCACGCTGCGATAAGTGCCTTTAAGATTCTAAGTGGATCCCTCCCTATAGAAATGCATGTCCCTCACTTCCTGTGAAAAGGCATCTCTCTCTCTCTCTCTCTCTTTCTCTCTCTTTCTCTCTTGCATCCTTACCTTCCTTCCCTGCTCTTTTTCTCTCACTTGTTTCCCCTCTCTCTCCCTTCTTTCTATCTCTCTCTCTCTCCCTCCCCTCTCTCCCCCTCTCTCTCCCTCCCTCTCCCTCCCTCTCCCTCCCATTCTCTCTCTTCCCTCTCTCTCTCTCTCTTCCCTCTTTCTTGCTTCCTTTCATTCCTTACTTGTTCATTTTTTCCTGCTCGTCCCCCCTCTCTCTCTCTCCCAATCTCTCTTTGTATAGCTCTATCTCTGTCTTGCTTCTTTTCCCTCCTCTCCTTCTCTTTCTTCTCTTTCCTTCCCCTTCTCTCTCTTCTCTTTCCTTCCCCTTCTCTCTTTCCTTCCCCTTCTCTCTTTCTATTCCTTTCCATCCCTTTCCATCCTCTTTTCTATTCCTTTCCGTCCCCTTGTCTCTTTCTTTGTTGTTGTTCCATTCTCCTCTTCTCTCTTTCTCTATATCACCATGATTCCTTTTCCCCATATAGCCTACTTTTCTCTGTTTATTTCTATCTTTGTTCTCCTTCCTTGCCTTCTCACCTTCTCTTAGTCTCTCTTGTTCTTTCTTACTTTAGTGATTTTGACATGCGAATGTTGTTGAATCCACGATCAATGAATGATATCACAAAATTTGCAAAATAACACCCCTGCCCAAGTAACTGTTGATGCAGTATACCACACAATCTACCTGAATGCAGAAGGATAGTAATTAAGACATATCATACAGAGTTAACCCATTGACTACCAAATGATCACTCCCCCATAGAAAGATCCTTAGGGGAAATACAGTAAGAAAGAAAGAGAACTAGAAAGAGAAGAATTGACGGGCAGATACATGTCAGTGTAGAGAAAAGTCATGAGGGGAAAAGTGTTACGCTGTTAGCTTTTTTGATATGCCTTCTACAGTACTATCATTTGGAGAAATATGACCTTTTTTTTCTTGCCACTTTCTGTCCTTTTATCTGGTATATTTCTTTTTGTATTTTGTATTTTTATTTTGTATTTTTTGTATTTTTTTTTTTTGGGGGGGGGGGGGGAGGGAGGAATTCTTTTAAACAAAAACCATTGTCAAAAGCCATTAAAGGCATTTTTAGCAATATTAAATCTGAGATGCATGGCCCTACGTCTTATCAGTGTCTGTGATATGGTGTAATATTGAAGCCCTAACAAAATTGATCATGAAGTGCCTCAAAAAAGTTTTAACATACTCGCTTTTTTTCCAATATACTGTAGTGTTTAAACACCGTTAGAATAAACGAAAAATGAAATTTTGATTTACAAATTGCAATCATAAATATCTTAATAATGAGGCTTGTAAAAGTAACGGGATTCCTGACTGACCTAAATGTTTAAAATTATGATTGCAACATGAGCTAAATCCAGGATTTTGTTTCAGAATCTGAGGTAATGTTACCGAGTCACTTTAAGTAGAAATTCATATTTCTTTTGGGCCATCCCTGGGCATTAAGTTGTTCTTTTAAACATTGTTTCTCATTTGTGTATGTTTTCATTGTCTAGGTATATTATTGTTTGATGTTGTATTCCTGGAAATGAGATAAATAAATTAAGGGACATGCAGGAAGGGGAAAGATACATCAAAGGAAACAAAAAGAAGAGAGATTTTAAAATAGAAAGGAGAGGAAGAAAGGTAGGCTAGAAAGATGTGGCAATGCTGAATTATAAATGATGCAAAAAATGATTTATGTAGTAGTGAGAAAGAGAGGGGGAATGATATTGCAAGAAATGTAGAGATGAATTATATAGAGACTCGTCACTGTAGTGCCTAGTGGCTACGAAAGAATACTCTCATAGCTCATTTCAAAGAATTCAAGGCAATGCAGCCTTAATTCTCTCCCCAGAGAGCGACTCTTATATTATTTACACCTCCGTTTCTATGGTAACGTTATAAGGAGACCGTCAAGTGAGAAATTGCATAAAGATTGACAGATTTGGTTTGAGAGAGCTCACAGGTGATTAAGAAGGTTCAATCAAAATGGCCACATAGCAAGCACTTCAGTGTCTGCGAGTCCTCACGTTTATTAAACATCTTTCCATCTAAAATTCTAGGAATTACAAGCTGTTCATGAACAAAAAGAGCAAAAATCATCGAAAATGTGTTGTCCATTTAAAGCCCCACTGTCCTACTTGTAGCTACTTGCTCCCTCTATATAGAAAACTTCCCCAATCGGTGCCTGTTGGTCCCCCATGATCCTCTTTTTCTTATGTTAGTTGAGAGCTGAGTTAATGAGATAGCCACCTGTCAGTGACCTCGCTGTGTGGTCTAATCCCTTCTGGCCCAGTAGTGGTGACGGTCTTTAAATTGCAGGATACTGGACCATTCATGAATAAGAGTTATTTAATACATAATCACTAAAGTTTCTAAAATGGCAATGCAGTGGAGGCGCGATAGCTCAGTTGGTAGAGCAGTGGTCTCGTAATACGATGACCCGGGTTCGAAACCAAGTCAATGCGCTAGTGCCCTGATGATGATAATACTGTTGATAATGATGATGAGAATACTGTTGATAATGATGATGATAATACTGTTGATAATGATGATGATAATACTGTTGATAATGATGATGAGAATACTGTTGATAATGATGATGATAATGATGATGAGAATACTGTTGATAATGATGATGATAATACAGTTGATAATGATGATGATAATACTGTTGATAATGATGATGAGAATACTGTTGATAATGATGATGATAATACTGTTGATTTTAAATGATGATGATAATACTGTTGATAATGATGATGATAATGATGATGATAATACTGTTGATAATGATGATGATAATACTGTTGATAATGATGATGATAATACTGTTGATAATGATGATGATAATACTGTTGATAATGACGATGATAATGATGATGATAATGCTGTTGATAATGATGATGATAATACTGTTGATAATGATGATGATAATGATGATGATAATGATGATGATAATGATGATGATAATACTGTTGATAATGATGATGATAATACTGTTGATAATGATGATGATAATGCTGTTGATAATGATGATGATAATGATGATGATAATGATGATGATAATACTGTTGATAATGATGATGATAATACTGTTGATAATGATAATGATAATGACGATGATAATGATGATGATAATACTGTTGATAATGATGATGATAATACTGTTGATAATGATGATGATAATGACGATGATAATGATGATGATAATGACGATGATAATGCTGTTGATAATGCTGTTGATAATGATGATGATAATGCTTTTGATAATGCTGTTGATAATGCTGTTGATAATGACGATGATAATGATGATGATAATACTGTTGATAATGATGATGATAATACTGTTGATAATGACGATGATAATGATGATGATAATGCTGTTGATAATGATGATGATGATGATGATGATAATGACGATGATAATGATGATGATAATGCTGTTGATAATGCTGTTGATAATGCTGTTGATAATGATGTTGATAATGCTGTTGATAATGATGATGATAATACTGTTGATAATGATGATGATAATGCTGTTGATAATGATGATGATAATGATGATGATAATGATGATGATAATGGTGATGATAATAGTGATGATAATGCTGTTGATAATGATGATAATGATGATGATGGTGATGAATATGGTGGTGGTGATGGTGATGATGATAATGGTGATGATGATGGTGGTGGTGGTAATGATCACCTTATATGCACAGTAGGTGCTTAATATATTCTGGGCTCTGTCTTATAAAGTATTGTGATTGATCCAAATCAATCACAAGTCCTCCAATCAATGGCAAGTTTGCAGTTTCCTATCTCTCATGTACATAGTTACGATGATATCACCCACAAATAAGCTGCAATTAAATATCAACTCTTTATATTAATAATAATAGTGTAAACTTATAGAGCACACACACTGTCCAGGGGCGCTCATGGTGCTAGCCTAGCAAAGGTTCTCTTTAATACAAGTAAAGTAAATGTTTATTTGATAATTGAGTTATACCATCAGAAACTCAAAAACAAGATGGGGCCCTGATGAAAATGATGCAAGTACCAAGTGATAATAGTGGTAATTCAGCCAAAGCTTGTTCACCTGTTGATCGATGGTAATATGATTGCAGGGCCCTCAGGGAGAACAGTATGAATACTGATGAGGCTACCCTGGGTAAACAATACATATTATTATTATTATTATTATTATTATTATTAATGATAAACAAGCAATACTGTTTCTTTTATTATCCAGATGACTGGTGTTACTAAGGAGAAATGTCTGTCTCTCATCCAGCGGTATGAGGTATCTGAAGAGGGACGCCAGAGAGGATACCTGGGTATTGATGGTATGTATATATATCCAATCATGTTATTTCTTTTAAAGCCCTACTGCACTAGTTTGGCCAGAAGGGATTAGCCCTCCCTGCATGGTCACTGACAGGTGAATATCTCATCAAATAACCTCTCAATTAAAATATGAAAAAGGGGATCATGGGGGGACCAATAGTCACCGATTAGGCATTGTTTGCTCTAAAGAGGGCGCAAGTAGCTATAATTAGTGCAGTGGGGCTTTAAAGTATGGTGTCTCCTGTTTCTGGGAGAGTAGAAGAGGAGTGGATCACTGTAAAGGGGCGGTAACACATACATGTACGTTAGTCTACAATTTACCTAGCTATCCGTAAGGGGGGATTACCGTAGCCTAGACTACCTAGAAGAATATTAAACTAGGTTAAGGTAAGTTGAAGTATGGCCATGCATAAGTATGTTAAAGTACAGTAAACTAGGTTGAAGTAAGTTGAAGTAAGTACTACCGGGGAGATCCACAATTGCCATGTTACACTACGTTAAACTAAGCTGAAGTACGCTCAATGACAGTGATTATGTTGATTATGGGGTATGCTACATTCGGCTATGGTTGTTACTACGGGTGAATTACTACTACGTTCATTCATTAATAACAGGTTAATGGAATACAAATAATGTACTTTGTCACTATGCCCCCGGGGAATTTCAATATGTTAGTAAACCGGTCTATTGATTTGCATTGGTCAATGTTACGGTTATATCTTGTAGGTTTCACAAGCTATCTACTTTCATCAGAATGTGCAATGTTATGGTTATATCTGTTTGTCTTGTAGGTTTCACAAGCTATCTACTCTCATCAGAATGTGACATCTTTGACCACCAGCAGCGGAGGGTCTGTCAGGACATGACACAATCACTATCACATTACTTCATTGCAGCTTCTCATAATACGTAAGCATTTAATGGCTAAGGGTGGTTTTCTCGAAAGCGTACTAACTTTAGTCCATGGTTTAATCCACCGACCAAGTATGGAATGCCAAAAGTCCATATGACTATGAATATGACTTTGAATACTTTAATATGTCACTAAATTGAAATAAAATATAATAACGTAATTAATAAACAACAATATAACTATAATATAATTATGTTATCATGGTAATTTAGGGACATATAAAATTATTCAAAAATATATTCATATGGACACTTGGCATTCCTTACTGAGTCGATGGATTAAACCATGGACTAAAGTTAGTCCCCTTTTGAGAATACCACCCTTTGGTTGTAATTATTAAAGGGGAAGGTTGGTGTTAATAAAAGCAACAAAAAAATGGGAGGAACAGATCAATGACAGTTTGAGCAAAACCCGATGAAAAATAAGACAGTTATGAAATTTTGAAGGTGCAATCAGTCAAACACAAATTGGCAACTCTGTGATGTATCTTGTGAGCTCCTCCCCAATTTGATAAGTAAAGAAAATGTCATTAACTTTCATTTTTTTTAATTTGTGGATGACGGAATAGATTCGTTTTATACGTCAGCGGTTGTATTAAAACATATTTGCAATAATTATATTCAGGGTGAATGTATGATTGAATATTTTCTGGAGGGAAGATATATATTTTTGAAGTTTTTTAGTGCAGGGCAAATGGGATGGGACCTCTCAAGATACGTCACAGAGTTGCCAGTTTGTGTTTGATTTTTAATTGCTTTTTGCTCAAATATTCTCTGTCCTTTTTCTCTCATTTTTCTACTTCTATTAAAACTAGTTGAAAATCAGGGTGGGCTTCCCTTTTTAGTATTTGATCATTTTCACAATACTTCATATTGCTTGTAAAGTTGTAAGTATCCTTTACATTACTCCATTACAGCTTCTTGTAATACATAAGTAACTAGTCGTTGCCACATTAATATATTTTAGCTTCTCATAATAATTAGTTAGCTTAACAAAATGTAGTGGCACAAAATGACCTGTAAGGAACACAAAATAAAATACAATTACCTGTAGTGATGTTTCTTATTTCAAATTTACTTTCTGAGATATCCCTAAATGAAAAATTTAACTCATGTTAAGCATCCCTGAGATGGTTTAGCATTTACAACCTCCATATCCTCAAGAGGTGGTAATAACTCTTTGTAATAACATTTTGATATTCTGCATTTATGCAGTTTGCGTTCTTGAAGCGTCTTTTTGTGACACTATATTTTGCTATGCTTCTTTACTCCTTATGATATTTGATTGCATCTTTCATAATACTTATTTACCTGTTGTTGCATTATTCAGTCGTTGTGAAATCCCTTGATTGCAACTTCTTGTAATGTAATCGTTACCACACAACTTCATTGCAGCTATTTTTATAATGCACAATGGGAAGTCCACCCTGATAATTAAGTTGGTTTTAATAGAAGCATCACAATCAGAGAAACAGGTCAGTACAATTTTGAGCAAAACCTGACTAGAAATATGAAAGTTATGAATTTTTTAAGGTGGGATCCGTCAAACACAAGTTGGCAACTCTGTGACGTATCTTGCAAGTTTCCCTCTCATCGTCAATCATTCGTTCACCCTAAATTTAACTATTGTACCAATGTATAAACCAAATATTTTCTGAAATCAATAACTACGAAAACAAAAGTTTATGAAATTATCCGTACAGAGCAAATAAAAGGGGAGCTCATAAGATATGTCACAGGGTTGGTAATTTGTATTTGATTCATTGCACCTTCAACAATGATAAACTTCCCTTTTTTTTTATAGGATATTGCTAAAACTGTCACTTATTTGTTTCTCTCATTTTTGTTTGCCTTAACAAAAACATCAACTTAATATCAGGGTGGACTGCCCCTTTAATTGTTCATAGTAATGGAGTGGCAATTTTTGTGGCCAGGTTTTTCTTTTTCTCATCTTTGTTTCTTGTGTAATAGAGTTGATTGCTTCTTGTGTGCATACCGGTACTATTATTTATGAAACTCATCTTGTTTAGGATATCTTTTTGTAAATTTGAATATGAAACTGATTAAGCCTCAAACAGGAAGTTTTTTGGTAGTATACAGGAAGGGTTTGGTAACAGATTGTTGCATGAGTATCCTTGTACAGTCTTCACCACATGTAGTCTGAAGGGCTTTGGTCGAAAGCAGATGAGTCCTTCTTTAATAGCATCTAAAGTCTTCTTAACCCTTTGAACCCTTAATTATTTCATAAGTTACGCATAATTGTTTGGCTTATGTCAAAAATAAGTCAAATCTATGAAAGTTGAATAATAGTTTTTCTTGGTATCTATAAACTGAGGACCTAACAAGAAATATAAATAATTTTTCTTAGCATCTATACTGGGCTCTTTAATACAATGTGTGTGGATGGTTGTATCCGACTGAGGAGCTAATGTTGTTTTTTTTTTTTGTCTTTGTTTTTTCTTAGGTATCTAACTGAGGATCAATTGAAAGGACCATCCAGTGTAGCAGCCTATGTATCAGCTTTACAGAAAGGCTGTAGATGGGTGGAATGTAAGTCACAGCAGTTGAATGAATATTTTAAACACACTCCATATGACCTGAATGCTAACAGATGAGGCCTAGGTGTACATTGTATCTTTCCTAAATACAAGTAGTTAATTATAAACTTAATTCATTAATACCCTAATATTCATATGTTATTCTTCTTCTGCCTCTTCTCCTTCTTTTTCTATTTTCCTTCTTCTTGTCCTCCTTCTTCCTTCTTCCTTCTTCCTATTTTTTTTCTTCATCTCCTTAATTCTTCTTCTTTGTCTTCTTTTTGCCTCCTTCCTATTTTTCTTTATCTTCTTCTACTTCTTCTTCCAGAGTGATATTGAGAAGAATAATTTGCATGAACAAGAGAGAAATAAAATGCATGTTTAACAGATAAGTTTAGCTGTTCTACAAATCTCTGTCCTTTGCCATCCTAGAACAATCTAGCAGTGCCATTCCACATCTTGTCTTAAAGCCCCACTGTACTACTTGTAGCTACTTGCTCCCTACATGTTATAGAAAACAATGCCTAATCGGTGCCTGTTGGTCCCCCATGACCCTCTTTTTCTTATGTAAATCGAGAGCTGAATTGATGAGATAGCCACCTGTTAGTGACCTTGCTGGGTGGTCTCATCCCTCCTGTCCACAGAAAGCCTAAACGTTCCCCTTCCAGTCAGTTCTAGGTTCCCCTCTTGATTTGGTACCTTCTACGTTTCCTTCCAACGAATCTTTCAAGAGACTCTGTGGCCAATGTTACATTGATAATTTTTTCTAAATGATGCTTGTTTTTCAGTGGATGTATGGGACGGTGCTAATGATGAACCAATCATCTACCACGGTCATACACTCACATCTAAGATCCTCTTTAAAGCAGCCATTGAAGCCATCAACCAACATGCATTTGAAACATCAGAGTGAGTATTTCTTCAGAGATGCCATTTTTACTGGAATATTCAGAAATTTTGTATTTTTACAGATTTTTCAGTTTTTTTCTGTATTTTTTGTGTTTTTGTTTTTTTGTCTCTCTTCGATCCCTGTTCTCTCTTTCTCTCAATTCTTTTTTTTTTGTACCAAGTGCGTATGTCTGCCTTCGGCTAGAACATTCTGTAGATGTACCGTTTTCCATGCGCTGCTCTTTATATCACTGTACAGATCATTGCTGTGTGTGCGGTATATACACGACAGCAATGGTCATGCCTGTGCTATACAAATCCTATTTTTTATACGCTATGTTGGTATGGTACAATATGTAGACCTACGGAGCTATGCTTTGAACCTTCCCCGAGCACCGGGGAAGCGTCCAGCCTGGCCTGGTAGCTAACGTTTGCCACTTCTGCCATCGCCACGCAAGCAGCAGCTGATATAGTAAAGCAGGGCATTCTCGGATACCTAAAACCACCATTTAATGCATCATGTCTGTTGAGATTTTAGCAAGAGAAGAAGAAAGGGAAGGTGACGGAGATTGAGAAGGGAATAAAAAACAAATGGGGATTGTCATAGCTTGAGATGAAAGATTGCCAAGGGTTTTTTCTCCAGCTACGTTCGATAGATAAAGGGACCTGGCGTCGCAATTTGCATCTAGTGCCTACGAAAGCAAAACTTTTCTTCTTCTAAGAGCTGTTTGTTCTATGAGTATAATACAAGTAGAATATCATCCTTGTACCGGTATATTAACGTCAAGCATATGGGCTGAGTCATGACATACAGAAGGAGTATTGTATGGATTTGAAGGATGACATGGAGGGCAAGAGAAGTTTAAAGGAGTTGATGCTGCCTGGCAAAGTGTATGGTCATGGAGGAGGGTGGGGTTTGTTAAAGGCATCGTAACAATGTTAAATCTGAGATGCATGGCCTTACATGTTATCAGTGTCTGTGATATGGTGTAATATTGAAGCCCTAAAAAAAACTGCGCTTCAAAATGATCAAGAAGTGCGTAAAGAAAGTAAAAATCTTTGAGTGAACGGTTTCACCATACTTGTTTTCCCCAAGAGACTGAAATGTTATGAAAACCGTTAGGAAAATGCAAAATTTGGTTTTAATTTCCAATCATTAATGTCTTGACAATCAGACAGGCGATCGGCTTGTAAATGCCACGGGGTTGCAGACTGACCCAAAAGTTTATAATTATGATTGCAGCATGAGCTAAATCCAGGATTTTGTTTCAGAATCTGAGACAAAGTTACCGGATCCATTTAAGGCCTATGGGTTGTCAATGTCTAGAGTGTCTGGTATATCTTAACTTCTTGGATTTGATGTCATTGTGATTGTCCGTCCTTCACAGGTATCCGGTGATCGTATCAATAGAAAACCACTGCAGCCCCGAGCAACAGAGAACCATGGCGCACTACATCACGTCTGTGTTTGGTGATAAGCTTCATACTGAACGGATAGATGAAGATCTATCCTACCTACCATCACCTCATGATCTTCAAGGCAAGATTCTGATCAAGGTCAGTACAAACTTCAGGCTTACTGTAAATCTCTGTGTATAAGACGCACTCTTTTTCCGCCGGAAAATTTCAAAAATCGGGGGTGCGTTTTAGGATATTTTGAGTCCTCAAAAATGCTACTTTTTTAGTGTTTTTCGAAAATATCTGTGTCTCTCAACATGAATTACATAATGTGATTAAAAAATAGGATCTACTACTTGAAGTTAAACAACGTTCATGTTTTTTTTTTGTCTTGGTCCTATAAATAGGGTGCGTCTTATACACAGAGATTTACGGTATTCAGATATGGGGGATGTTTCATAAAGACTTACCGGTAGATCAACTTAGTTGTACTTAGAACTATGACAGGCGATTAACATGTATGCCCTTAAAAATTCTTGAACCAGATGTACAATTAGAGGGAAAAAACCTTAAAAATTGTGATCTTTAGATAACGTATTTTACTTCAATAATAAAGTATCAACAATTTCGAATTCTGTAGATTTGTGACGTCCCTTGAGAGACCAATAGTGAGAGCAATCAGTGGCATGAATGGCCTGCCATAGTCCAACTTAAGTCGATCTTAGTCTTTGTGAAACACCCCCGTGGGGGGGGGGGGGGGGTACACTGCTTTTAAATAAGGTAGCTTAGCAAAATGTAGCGCTTCAATTTTACTTTATCAAAGTCTCAAGGGAACAGGGCAGATGCAGTAATAAAGTTCATAAGACTGAACCTCAGTTTATTTTTGTCTTGTGAAACTACACTATTCTGAACTGAACTGAACTCTTCTTCATAAAAGACATTTTTTTATTTATTTATTTATTTATTTTTTTTAAATATTTTTTTTTACATACCGCACGTCAAATAAATGCCTTATAATGGTGATTTGATCCCAAATTCAATAGAAAACTAATTTTAAAAAATACATTCTTGAGAATGAAATGCCGATAATACCAAAATAACCAAACAAAATATACCTACTCATATGGAAAAAAACAGCATGAGGAATGAACATTTCTGCATTGGAAGTGTGTCGCGCGTGGTTGTCAGTTTTGTTTTTATGAATTCCTTTTTTTTGCGTGAAATTCCTTTTTTGGCCATCATGATTCCTTTTTTTTGATGGCACAAGGTTGGCAGCTCTGGTTTACCTAAACAGTTGGAGATAATGAATGCCTTCCCTTGTCGGCTGTCTTTTCATACAATTACAAATCCAAGGTTATTTTCATAGACATGACCTCTTGTCTTGCCTTTTAAATTTATAGTGTTATAAGCTACTGGGCAGGGCAGGGTAACAATGATCCGTGAAATGTTATAAGCTACTGTTGTATAGGGCAATAATTACCTGATGATGTTATAAACTTCTGTCATACCGGGTAGCTGTTACCTGTTTGTTAAAAGCTACTGTGATACAGGTCAATGGTGAATTTTATAGTGTTATAAGCTACTATTGGGCTGGGCTATCATGACCTGTATAACGTTATACCTGTAAGCTACTATTGGGCAATGCTATCATGACCTGTATAACGTTATAAGCTACTATTGGGCAGTGCTATCATGACCTGTATAACGTTATAAGCTACTATTGGGCAGTACTATCATGACCTGTATAACGTTATAAGCTACTATTGGGCAGTGCTTTCATGACCTGTATAACGTTATAAGCTACTATTGGGCAGTGCTATCATGACCTGTATAACGTTAGAAGCTACTATTGGGCAGTACTATCATGACCTGTATAACGTTATAAGCTACTATTGGGCAGTGCTATCATGACCTGTATAACGTTATAAGCTACTATTGGGCAGTGCTATCATGACCTGTATAACGTTATAAGCTATTATATTCCACATACTAAGAATCTTGCTCTACGATTGGTCAAAAGTAAATCACGTGATGAAAGATAGATCACCCATTATTGATGGGAGAAGCAAAAAGTTTGTTACACTGTGTAGATAGTACTACTATCTACACAGTGCAACACACTTTCACTGTAGATAGAGGTACTATCTACAAAGGGCAACGCACTTTCACTGAAGATAGAGGTACTATCTGCAAAGGGCAACGCACTTTCACTGAAGATTATCCAAAAGCGCACTAATACAGGCATAATTAAGCGCGCATTACCAATGAGCACAATTAAAACAAACACATGCGCGCACCGTTACCAGGGGTTGGGTTAAACTACTGTTTAACTTTTTTGATGTGAATTTGGGCATGGTGTCTTTTATGTAGATGCATACACGTCCTTTTCTTTTTGTAGTTAAATTGATTTAGATGTGGAATATAAAGCAAACAATCACCTTTTGGTTTCAGGCGATGGCAAACTATCACTTCCTCGTCGATCAGAATGTATACGCTTTCTTTCCTCAGCTTCGCTTCTGAAAGATTGCTACATCCAGATCGCCTCGGAAGTGATAGTTTGTCCCATCACCTTCACCAACGGTAGTTATTTGCTTACTATTGGGCAGTGCTATGATGACCTGTATAACGTTATAAGCTACTATGTTACAGGGCAAGAGGTTACCTGATGATCATGAAGGAGATGAAGGTGAAGTGACAGATGAAGATGAGGGATCAGACACAGACAGAGGAAAGAAGATCAAGAAGGTAACTAAAGTATAGAATTGCCAACACCACATTTGGGCAGTGCTTTCATGACTTGTATAACGTTATAAGCTATTATATCCCTTCTATGAATATTCATAAGTTTTCTAAATAAATGATTGGTCAATTGGTGGCCACATTTGTCTAAGGTCCTTTTGAGACAAGCATTCCACTTTCTGTGGTTCTAGTTACTATTCAGAGCCCTAAATTCTTTTCCAAAAGTGAGAATAGAAAGGACAAACATTCATGCATATATTGCGTCTATTTTGTTGCATGACCACAGTTCCTTTGATAGGAATTTTAAAAAGGAAAATAATCTTTAAAATCCTTAAACTGGCAATATATTGAGAGATTCAAATCATTGTTTTTCAAGCAAAATTTGTAACTTTTCAAAATAGCCCATAACCATGTTTATTTTCAGAGACATGGCACTATATTTATATAACATTAACAGCTAAAGGAAATTAAGATTGTTACCAGTTTAGAGAAGAAAATGTGATCAAGTTAGCTCTTTACAAACTCCTGTAAGGGCCAGCATATAAATCTGTAATCACATACCTGAGGATAATACATCTTGCCACAATCTGCTCTGTAGGCAGTCCTCCTATATCTCACTTTCCTTTCTTTCAACATCTTTTGTTTCCATGGAAACCCATCTCCTACATCACTCCCTTCAGTCAAAGGAGTAGAGAAAGTTTGGGAGCTGTGATGAGATCATTTCAATCTTAATGTTACATTTAAATGGAGAAAACAGTAAAGGTTTCTTTGTTAGGTTTGTTTGGATGTTTTTCTCATTTCAAGCCCTCTTTTGTTATTGTATCTTTAGGGTAGGTTGATCTTATCACACGGCTGTGTTCATATTATCACACGACTGCATTCATATTATTTAGGGTAAAAATCGTATACTGTCACTGTATGTGTAAGGTACAGTCAAACCTGCTGTAATAGTGTTCACCTGTATAGAAAGACTACCTGTCTATAAAGCCCATACTTTTTGTTTCTCATCTGGTTTCTCACTGAAACTTGTACTAAAGGAACCTGTACATAGAGACCACCTGCCTATAAAGATCACTTTTTATGCTTCTTTGAGCGATCTCTATAAACAGGTTTCACTGTATTAGTTTTTATTTTTGTACAGGTCTCTGTAGGTTATAGTAGGTGGCTTGGGGGAATCATCCTGACAGAGTAGACAGAAGTTCCAAATTTGGCATGAACACTTCTTATGACCTACTAATATTAGTTGAGGAGCCCTTGTGATTTAAAAAAGCTGTTTGTGTAAATCGCTAACATCCAAGATGGCTGCCATCCATTATCATAGAAACAATATTTTCTGGTTTAATCTTTACAAAAAGAGGCAAAAATTTGTTGACATACAAATTTTTTGAGAATATTGCACATATCCTCACATATTAAAATGAACTTGTATAGGTTTATCTTTTGCTTAGATTCATCTTTTCACTCTTGTTAATATTTTGTTTTATGTAGCATAGATTGTTCTTTTCGCAATGTCTCTCCTATGTTTAATACCATAAATTCTTCTCTTCACAATACACTTGAATAAGTTTATCTTCTGTGTTTATATAATTTTTAATACGGTAGATTCTTCTATTCACACTAGTCTATAGTAGATTCTTCTATTTGAACGCAGACCAAAAATCAATCAAACAAACACTGTATAGGTTTATCTTGTAAGTTTTTATCTTTACAGTAGATTCTTCTATTCAAACTGTACTCGTAAAGGTTCATCTTCTATGTCTTCTGTTCATACTGTATAGGTTTATCTTTTGTGTGTGTTTGTCTCTGTCTCTGTAGTCTAGATTTTTCTCGTTCAGGAGGCCAGATGACCCAGACCTCAGGGTCAAAAGGTTACGAGATAAATTGACCCTGAATCAGATAATGGCTTCTATTGCTAAGGTACTGTCGTGCTGTGGCTTGCTTGATCGCCTCCATCATTGCATCAGGTTCCTGCATTCTAACAGTCATTGGATGCACATTTTGAATAAATAAACCATTATTATTTGTTCTTTTGTGGTTTTTGTAACACTCTCAAGGCTAGTTCAGATATGACACATGGGGGGTGTCTCACAAAGATCCTTAGTCTTACTTAACTCGATAAGTTGGACTTTAAAATTATGGAGAGCTATTTGTAGGCTTAAAATTAAATATATTCAAAAGCAAAAATTGAAGTATTTTAGACTTTTTATAAATTCCACATCAAGAACATGAAATCTCCTTGATAGTAGAAAAAATGAATGATTTGAATCAACATTTTATCCCTTTTGAAATAGCTTTTACAAAAATATTTTCATAGATGCCAACTGCTTTCCATAATTGTTAAGTCCAACTTAGAGATAAGTTCAACTTAGGATCTTTGTGAAACACCCCCCTGGTGTTTTTTTATGATGACGATTCACATTTCTCTATCTTCTAACACAGAGCTCAGTGAATAAGTGCAAGTCCTTTGCTCCACTCAGTTGTCATTCATTTACACATGTTTTTTTGTATGTGCTATATCTGAACAAGCTATTTAACCCTAGTCGTTTTTCTTGTATGCAGGTGAAAATAAAACAATTTGCCATATTCTAATTTTTATCTATTTCTTATTTAAAAGAATTGAAAATGGAGAAGAAAAAAAAATTAGGCTATGGATTAAAAAAAAGATAGTTGAAAAGAGTAACCATTAAACCTTTACGGTATACTATTACCGGTAGGCCTTCTTTTGTGGTTTTTCTAACATTTTTAATGGTTCATTCAGATATGACACAGCAAAACCGTGGTGGTTTTGTATGATGATTCTTCACATTTCATCTTCTAACACAGAGCTCGGTGAATAAGTACAAGTCCTTTGCTGCACTCTTGCGCCATATCTGAAGCCTTTTAACCCTAGTAATTTTTTATGTGCAATTTTTTTATTTTTTTTATTGCCATATTCTACTGGTATTTCTTAGAAATCTAGAAGTATTACTGTATCGCAACACACTGACTCTTTTTCTTTTAATGACAGAACCCTAATACGCTTTACATGTCTGTATGATATAATACACAGATACACAGATTATTGTGTTCACATTGGATCTTTCTTGCACACACACAGCTATCTCTTCTAATCCCCATATGCCATTCATTTACATGTACACATACAAAACAAAATTCTGAGGTTCTCCCATGTTACATGTATGTATGAACAAGCCTTTAGTCTTTTTTTCAATTTCTTCCTCGGTCAAAATATTTTGATTCTAGTTCTTCTGTCTTTAATCACAAAGTTGGTACATGGGGCATTATATTTCAGTGTATTGAACCACTACATGTACACGCATCACGCTATGTCGTAAATGTTTATTATATTTCATACTGTTATGTTTATGATGTTGTTTTTGTCACTTGCTGCAGGGTCACAATCTTGAGTTCTGGTAATAATAAGAAAAACTAATTTGGAAATTCACACATGATTCTCACCACATTCATGTATAATTGGCATTGGGACAGACAGACTATCCACTTTACTGCAATCAATCAGAACTGGCTCTCACAAGTGGGAAGAATATTGCCACTTATCTCCTCTCACCTTTGCTTGTATTCATATAATATTGACTTGGAAAACAATCTGTGAGGAACATGTACTATCGAGGCTCGTTAAAGAGAAGGTTGAGTTCTGGGAAATGTGAGAAATAATTTGAGAGCTTTCATTCTTTTTATGTCGGTGTGGCTTGATATCATAGAAAAAGTGTCCACTGAAAAGGATGGATCTTGAAAATTCCAAAACCTGACAGTTTATACCTGAACTTATCTGCTAGATGATCAAAATTTTCCAATCATGCAACAGCATGACCACAACTGAACTTTGTCTTTAATACACCACCAATGTCCACTGACAAGGAACATGTTTTGCTCAATATGTGGCTAGATTTAGTTGATCAGAGATCACAATTATCATCTTTCATCATCACAAACCATTCTTTTTCTAACAGCTACTTCAACTTGTTGTCTTTATAAGTTTGTTTCATTTAAAGAGAAGGTTGAGTTCTGGGAAGAGGTGAAAAATAATTTGTGAACGTTATCATACTTATTATGCAAGTGTGGAAGAACATCAGATAAGACATGTTCCCTGAAAAGCATGGCTCCACAAATGCCTTCATATTCTAAATATGTCATGTAATATCGTAAAACTCAGGGGTAGGATTTTTACGCCACGTGTTCGTGTAGTCCCATATACATCTTTCTGTGTACAGTGTTTGTAACTTTACCAAGACTTGGCCAATTTCTTATCATGTTGATGATTGCAGAACCTTGCAATACACACACATTCTTATGTGCTAGATGATCAACCTTTTCTGGTCGACTCCACACCGTTTCTTTCACAATGCAATCGCATGACCAGAACTCAACTTCATCTTTAAGTGCCAGAATTTTGGTATTACAACTAATTGATTCCACTTGCTTTGTTCCATAACCCTTTGCCTGACTCCTGGGCCTCCGCCATATGTACATGCTGCGATTGATATCAATCGAAAATAAGTTGCGATTAATAGCAACTCTTTATAATAAGACGGAGCGAAATTCTTTTTGAATTTGTAAATGAAAATGTTTAAACCAAGTCTGGGCATAAAGACTACATTGTATATTAATGCTTACACTGCCAGTAGAGACCTTGAGAGGAAATTTAGTCTACATGCTCTTGACCCTTTTATTATCTTTACAGTAAGTCGAGAGAAATTGTCTGCGAAGCCGTTGGAGTTTTGGAGTTTTCTAATGTTGTTTTGATAGCATGTGAACTAAAGACATGCATGTATACTGCGGTGTCATTTCATTAGAAGTTCTTTTTCATTGTCTAGCCTGGAGCATTTGATTTCAAGTGGATATGATGCTTTATAAATCTCATGTATAATTATTAGATGATATTATTAACGCATTAGAGGCTTATTTCTATTGTGTTTCATTATGTATTAATGACTGGCTCATTCTTCAACAGTTTTGAAGCTAACTTGTTACCTTATATTTGATTTAATAATTATTTCTGTAGTCCAACCAAGAGACCAATGGTCTATGAGGACCACAACTTGCATTTAAACCTCCATATAAAGACCATATTTCTTCTTTACTTTGAGGTTTCTTTTTGTGTTACACATGTGTACAGTGTAAAGCCCTCTGCACACAACATATATGATTTGACTACTATCCCATCTGGGAAGACTTTGCAATTGCATTTGATATGAATATTCAAACATGTAAAATCTTAATGACCGATGATCTGAGTATATGATTAATAAAATCCAAATTTTAAAGGTGTTCATGTTTTCTTGGAGGAAGAAAAGCTAAATTAGGTCAGAATGTAAGTGACATCAAACCAGCATTGTTCTGTCTACAATTTAGCCTGATTTAATGCACTGAAATTTTAATCGCTTGTATTCTTATCATTATTTAGAACATACACATACATTTCAATCAGGAAGATGATGTTTGTATAGATTTAGAGGAAACGGGATAGCTCAGTGGTAGAGCAGTGGTCTTGTAACCTGGAGGTCCCAGGTTCAAAACCAAGTCGATGTAGTGCCCTCTGCTAAGGCATCAATCCTCATTACCGGGTCCCTCAGAGAGGACTGGCTGCTAACTTACAAGCATACAATTGCTTTCTTAGCAGTCAGGTAAAAATATATCATCCAACTATCAAATCAAATTTCCTTCTCAGTAAAATAATAATAATTTCTTTAAGAATCAAATCGTAAAGTGTGTGGCGAGCATTGTTCATGTTTCCCTGTAATGTTCAGATATTATTGTTTCTTGTTTCATAGGATGGAGTTAAGAAGAGGGCATTAATACGAGAGTTATCCGACCTAGTCACCCTATGCAAATCAGTTCGCTTTCTAGGATTCAACGAAGCAAGACAAGATCGTGAGTAATACCTCCTTTTCTATGAGGCATTTTCACAGAGTGGGTCAACATGGATGCTGGTTTTATGTGTAGCAAAGGTCTTCATCACAAAAAGTATAGCACAACATTGAAACCACTGTACAAACCAATATTTCATTGGTTGAGAATACAGCAGAGAAGTTTGCCAACAGAATATTTATTTCTCCATGATATAAAGAGTACTGGTAGTATTTTTATTTGTTCAATTTTTTTTTTTTCTTTGGGGGGGGGGGGGGGGGGGGTTCTTTCTTCAGAGTGATATTAGGAGATTTGTTCCTTTGTTACGAATACAGCAGAGAAGTTTGCAAACCTGATATTTTTGCTGTCCATGTTAAAAAAGAGTGGTAATTTTGTTTCTTCTTATTTTCGTTTGCTTGTTTGTTTGTTTTCAGAGAGATACTGGGAGATCTGCTCCTTTGTTGAGAATACAGCAGAGAAGTTTGCTTACATGATATTTTAGCTGTCCATGTTAGAGAGTAAAGAGTAATAACTTTGTTTTTGTTTATTTGTTTGTTTGTTTGTTTTCAGAGAGATACTGGGAGATCTGTTCTTTCGTTGAGAATACAGCAGAGAAGTTTGCTAACATGTGTCCCGAGGACTATGTGAGCCATAACAAGAGATATCTATCCAGAGTCTACCCCAATCCAAACCGAGTAGATTCAACCAATCTCAATCCACAGGATATGTGGAATGTGGGATGCCAGATAGGTGAGTAAGGAAGCTTGGCGAAATGTTGCGGCACGGATAGATTCATCTCCAACAAAATGCATAATTGTTAGAAATCATAATTTTGTCACACCGTGGTAGAACCACATTGTTAGGATATGAACCTTATAAATATATGTACTATTTTGATTAGGCATATTGTTACCTAAATTTTCATTCAGATATTTAAAAAAAAGAACCTTTTGATTATTTAAACATACATCACTTACTATTATGCCTTGTGCGTTCCGTACATATCTTTTCTTGCCGCTTCATTTTGCTAAACTACCTCAGCCACGTTCAGATATGACATGGCAAACTGATATGGGTTTTTATCTTATATAATGATGTAAGTGTACTGCCAGGGGGTGTTTCACAAAGATTCTAAGTTGAACTTATCTCTAAGTTGGACTTAAAAATTATGGAAAGCCATTAGCACCTTTGAAAAAAATTTGTAAACGTTATTTTGAAAGGCATAAAATGTTGATTCAAATCATTCATATTTTTTATCATCAAAAAGATTTCATGTTCTTGATGTGGAATTTATAAAAAAGTCTAAAATACTTGAATTTCTGCTTATGAATATATTACATTTTAAGGCTCCAATGGCTGTCCATAATTTTTAAGTCCAACTTAGTGTTAAGTTCTACTTAGGATCTTTGTGAAACACCCCCCAGGTCACATTTCTGTATCTTATGTCTCTTAACTCAGTGAATCCCAATTTCCATTCCTTTAATAAATGCAGCGATTTACCACTTCAAATATGAATGAGCCTAAATGATAACAACTTAAAGGGTTGTCATAAAATCAAACAAATCTTAACCTTTCGCCCATCGTGAAACACTTGCAGATTGGTACATGACAATATTTACCAACTGACAGACTGATTATGCATCACAAAACTACCCAATATCTGGTCTTGATTACTTACATGTACATGACAACACTATTTAGGTATCTTTAATAGTGAAATATAGTGTCACGAAAAAGACGAGTCCAGAACTCTAAAAGGGCCCAAGGCTGAATACAAATACATAATGTGACATATCTAAATGACAAGGGGGTAGTTGTCCTAGAATTCTTTAATCAACCTCCATTATAATATATTCCACTATAAGAGAATAAAGACTGCTCAAGGGAGACAAGAAAAGTGGTCTTCATAAGCAGGTGGTTGCTTAAAGCAGGTTTGATTGTACTGTGTTTGTTTTGTTTTTAGTGGCTCTGAATTACCAGACTCCGGGATTAATGATTGATCTCTATGATGGGAAGTTCCTGATGAATGGGAGCTGTGGATACGTCTTGAAACCTGCCATCATGAGAGAAGGTATGGAGTAATGAAAACAGGAGAGAGGGAAAAGGGCATAGATTAAGAAAAAACAAGAATGATTGGAAGAAGAAAGAGTAGGAGAATAATTTTAAACAGAGAAAGGAGGAGGAGGAGGAGGAGGAGGAGGAGGAGGAGGAGGAGGAGGAGGAGGAGGAGGAGGAGGAGGAGGAGGAGGAGGAGGAGGAGGAGGAGGAGGAGGAGGAGGAGGAGAAGAAGAAGAAGAAGAAGAAGAAGAAGAAGAAGAAGAAGAAGAAGAAGAAGGAGAAGGAGGAGAAGGAGGAGAAGGAGGAGGAGGAGAAGGAGAAGGAGGAGAAGGAGGAGGAGGAGGAGGAGGAGGAGAAGTTTAGGTTTAAAAAGAGGAAGAAGGAGAAGAAGAAGGAAGAACAAAAAAAGGAAAAAAATGAACAAGCAGAAGAGGGAAAAGAAGAACAAGAAGAGGAAAAAGAAGAAAAAGGAAGGAGGAGGAGGAGAACAAGATGTGGTTACGGTTGACATAAAGTCATTGCCTAGTTGCTTGAAGTGCATGTTTCCTAGAAGGTTCCATGATGATAATCAAGGCCCATCAATAACTATTGACTCTAACTTACAAATATTATCATATGTGTTTTCCAGAGATCGCATATTTTAGACCCAACTCATTTGATGTGATTCCTGGAGTATCACCCCAGATCCTACACATTAAGATCATCAGCGGTCAACAGTTCCCTAAACCCAGAGGATCAGGATCAAAAGGAGAGGTGAGTTTAATACAAACTAATGATTGCCTGAGTAGGGGGGTGTTTCACAAAGATTCTAAGTCAAACTTAACCCTAAGTTGGACTTAAATGTTATGGAGAGCCATTTGTTGCCTTATAATTAAATATATTCAAAAGCAAGAATTCAAGCATTTTAAACTTTTCATAAATTCCATATCAAGAACATGATATCTCCCATGATAATAGAAAGTATGAATGATTTGAATAAACATTTTATGCCTTTAAAAAAAACTGTTACTAAATATTTTCAAGGATGCTAACGGCTTTGCATAGTTGTTAAGTCCAACTTAGGATCTTTGTGAAACACCCCCTAGGTGTGTAGAGTAGTTTGATCACATGACTGGCCATGCAGAGGTTGTGGTGAAAGATAAAGTAATCTAATCAGCACTGAACCAATTTGATTCATTGGATCATTGGGACTCTCCTCAATAGGACTGATGGTGTGATCAGCTGTCAACAAATATCTGTTTCCAGAGTCCTGTCTGATAAAGAGTTGCAATTGATCTACATCAATCGCAAGTCCTCCAATCAATTGCAAGTTTGCAGTCTCCCATGTCTCCTATCTCTCATGTACATAGTTGTGATTAATATCAATCACAAATAAGTTATTGATATGAACTTTTTATAAAACGGGACCCTGATCTGGGACCTGTTGCATAAAACTTACTATTAATAGTAACTACCATCATGATGGTAACATTGCAAAATCAGGTATTCCATGGATTTAAAAGTTGATAATATAGACTTACTTCAAACATGTCTGTTTTCAGTCAAAATTGTATTTTATTTGTTCTGTAGGTGATAGATCCCTACATCTCAGTGGAGATCTTTGGTATCCCAGCAGACTGCAAAGAAGAAAGGACGAAGACAGTACCTCATAATGGTAAATATACAATATTCTATATTTTACACTTCCCTGCTTATGTAGAGACTTTTAATAATGATAAGTTATAATTCCATCGCTGTTATTCAACAATGGCGCAATGTACTGTATTGAAAGTAGACTAAAAATCTGTGGTGCTTTTGCTTTGTCTGCTCATTTATAATGTGTTATTCCTAGCATTCTGGATCAAAAGATAATACAATGAGACACTGCCCTGCTGTGGGTTAATAAATCAATGTTTGTGATGAGTTAATCTTTTAAAATATTTCTTTTCAGGTTACAACCCAATCTTTGATGAGAGCTTTGAGTTCTCTGTCAATCTTCCAGAGTTAGCCCTGGTCCGCTTTGTGGTCCTAGACGATGACTTCATTGGTGACGAGTTCATTGGTCAATACACCATACCGTTTGAATGCTTGCAACCAGGTGAGTTCATTGGTCAATACATAATACCACTTGAATACATCTAACTAGGCTAGTTCATTGGTTAATACACCATATCATTTGAATACATCTAACTAGGCTAGTTCATTGGTTAATACACCATATCATTTGAATGCCTCTAACTAGGCTAGTTTATTGGTCAATACACTATACGATTTGAATGCATAAAACCAGGCAAGTTTATTGGTCAATGTACCATTTTTAGTCCTGTGTAATCAAAATACTGGAAAATTGTTGATATAAGGTTAATTTGTCAAGTTTGACCAATGATTTAATTAGGATTTAGGAGTGAGTTGTACATGTGTACATGTGTTCATGTGTACAAGTGATCCAAAGTTGATGATCATCTTTCGTTCCATGAATGATTTTCTCCTTTAGGGTATCGTCACATCACATTGCTGTCTAACACCGGGGAACCCCTGAAGCCAGCATCTCTCTTTGTACACGTAGCAGTTACTAACAAGAGGGGAGGAGGGGTAAGTCTTTACCTTTGACCTCTTTCAGTATTGACCTATGACCTCATATTGACCTCTTATTGTTCCATTACTTGATAATGTTATTACATTAATTACATTAATTGCTCATATTTTTAACATAATTTGAAGATGGTGATGACAATGTGTTCTTTGATACTAGACCACTAGTATACATTTATAAAATGACCTTTGACCTCAAGGACCAATGACCTTTGATCTTTTATATTATAAAAGATTTTAAGTTTGACATTTGATCCAAATTAGATGGGGTTCCTGTGGCAGAATAGATTTGTGCTCAACAAAATATCCATTAAAAAATATTAGCATTACAACTACTACCACTACTCCTATTTCTACTTCTACTACTACTACTACTATTGAAAAGAATCATGACGTAAAATACACTTTGAGACTGGACACAAGTATGTACACCCATGAATGGTATATGGAATATCATATCTAGTAGTAGTAGTTGTTGTACTAATAGTAGTTTTAGAAGTAGTAGTAGTAGTATTAGTAGTAGTAGTAGTAGTAGTAGTAGTAGTAGTAGTAGTAGTAGTAGAAGTAGAAGCAGTAGTAGTAGATTATGAGATTGGTAAGAAAGACAATTATTGTTCAATTTATAGATAGATTGTTGAAACATTTTTTGTTGATAACATTAATGTGGCTTTAATTGTCAGAATGAACATTCACTTAGGTACAGTCAACCTTGCATGAGTCGACCTTGACGTGCTTTGACACTGGTTGATGACACATTGCAAACTTGTTCAACTTTTGCGATGTGAATGCAGTGCCTTTTCTTTGGAAACGTTCCAAGAATTTTATTGTCTCTGGCTATTATTCAACTTTAAAAATGTTAATAATAGTCTAATACAGAGGACTAAAACACTAATGGGGCGTTGCAAGAAAGTTGCGATTGATTGCAACTCAACTTTCTTCCAATGCCCCACTAGTCTCCTAAATTTCCTAGGATTTTGTTAGGATTAACGTTTTAACAATTAAATGAAGTTAAATAGATCTCATTTTTACCTTCCCCCCTCTCTCTCTTACTAATTGGGCGTTGCAAGAAATTTGAGTTGTGATCAATTGCAAACTTGCAATTAATCGCAAGACTTACGCTTGGTTTGGGGGATTTGCAATTGATTGCAACTCAAATTTCTTTCCTTCTATGAAGAAAAATTGGGACTTTTTATTATCATCAACTTAAGAGGTTATTGCAAACATGGAATGTCTACTTGTGCAAGGTTGACTGTATTTTTCTTAAACTTTTATAGATTTGTTTGATGAGTAGATTTTATACGTTAGTAGCTCATGTTGCTTTGATGGTCAACTATTGTTACTATTTTTAGTGGCTTTGCCCTTGGGAATGGAAGGTGAGATCTAAAGCTGTCATTATTTTGAGTCATTTTATGATTTCATCAAGGTTCATCTTAATGGGCTTACTTCAACGTTCTGTGAAAGCATACCCAGTTGTTCACAAAATGTTGGGGGTAGTGTTTGTGAAATTAACCACTTTGTGAAGACCCTACAGAAAATCTATGAAAGGTCACGTCCTAAATCTGCATCTGAATATGATCATTCGGTTTCGTTACGCAGAGGTCGTGTAACGTGACCACCTGACTCAACGCGATGATGCGATGATTTGTAGTAATCCTCTTAATGTTTTGTAACAGTAGGGGATCATTAAAAGCAACGGTTTCTTGTCATTGCATCTTCAATTCATTAACTTTTAGTTTCTCAACACTTACCCAAATATGATTTTCAATTTTATTTTAAATGTTGATACATGGTTTCATTGTTAAGTTTTGCATTAAACGTTTTCATTGGAATAATTTTTGGGATACATCCTAATATTTCTGTTTCAGAATATAAATAATTCATGTCTGCGAGTGCATTAATGAATATGCACTACCTGCAGGTTAATTCACAATCAGATAATGAACAAGACCTGTCAAGTTCATTATCCGGCTGATTATGTATTAACCTAGTGCAGTGCATAACACTAATGCACAAGCTTCAAAAATCCTTTTTGTTAATTTATAAAACGTGTGTACAATATGAATACGTGTGTACAATATGAATATAAGTCGAAAAATAAGAAAAATACCAAGAATCACAGGGTCATGGGGCCCACTCTGTAAAGATGACATCACAGTGCATAAGTGCAGCCAAACAGTGTAGTGCGTGTCTCAGTGAGTGCATCAATATCCTTGCCATTTGAAGCTACATTCTGTACGCATACAGGCATCTCAGCCGTGCATTATCACGTTTTGATGGGAACTATTTTGCATGGTTGGTGTGGTAGGAAAGAAAGATAAACAGACACGTGGTGTCATTTACCAATTATATTGCCTACATTCTTGAACCCGTTTTATAAACTAAATTAACTAGCTTTTAGCGAGTCCAAAGATTGAAATTTATCGGCGGGCATTGCTCTCTATTAAAGGGCATCAGTATCCTATAATTTTCAATTACAAATCATGTGGTTATGGTAAACAGTATTTTTAAAATTTGATTGAATAATACTAACTTTTGAATCATACTGTAGTTCAATCATTAATGTTATGCTGTGAAGCAATTTACTCATTATTTTTGTATTCATTTCATTTATCATGTACATTGTATACCAGGTATTAAAATTTCGTTAAAATACAGTAGGGTTGTTTTTTATCAAGGCTTTAACCCTATTTTCCAGGAGGATATTCACATTTAGTTTTTGTTTATTTGGGTTTTCATATAGTTTTTCTTTTGTTTAAATCTATTTCATATCTTAAGGGTATCATGTGTAATTACAATGTATCAATATGTAGACATTACACACGTGGCGAGAGCATATCTGATTGCCAGTGGCTCTGAATAGAGCTATGCGACCATACACTTTTTGTTTTTCTTCTTTTTTTTCTTCTATATGTTCATTTGTACGTAAATATGTTTTGATACAGAAAATAAAACCAAACAAAGTGAGTATGAGAACCCTGGTTTTTTTTGTAATTTTTGTAATTTTTTTTTTATTACAGCCCAAGGATAGTTTTAACTCAAATTGCACTGTTTTCTGTGTATGTACATGCAGTAAGATGCATTTTTGATATTTTAAGTTTCTGGAATTATCTCCTCTTTGTTTATTGTTGTAAACCATGATATAAATTAAACCTCCAAGCAGTTCTTATCATGTATTACTAAGCTACCTTAACCGACGTAAAAGGGTGGTACTACAAGCAAACTGTCTTCATTGTGTATTGTATCTTGAAACACTTTGTGGGTCGCACTTAGCAATCTGTTATACTTGCAGATGTTCAACGTTCACCAATTTGCATCAACAATAGACAGGTTACAATAGTATTACCTAAAATGTTTTTGTGACTAGAAAACAATTGATATTGATAAATGATCGAGATAGTGATCTAGAAAAGTGTACAAAGGTCTACCTTTAATGTCCTTTAATGGATATGATTGTAGAATGAGAATGATTCCTTTATTATTTTTGTTTTCATTTGTAATTATTTTTTTATTATTTATAGAAACCGACAAAGAGAGGAATGTCTGTCAAGAAATCCAAGAAATCCCGAGAGTATACCAGGATGAAACCCATTGGAGTCAAGGCTGTGGATGATGCATTCAAGGTAGGTTTGGTCTGGATCAAACTGGTTTGTCAAATACAATAGATTGAGATTCAGTCCAGTTTCATCTGGATTTAACTGGTTGGAGAATACATTATTTCATTTAGTGAAAACTGGTTTGGTAAATACAGAAGATATAGTTTCAATCCAGTTTCATCTTGAGGTTTTGCTGAGTGCAGTCGATATGGGTACAATCTGGTTCCTTTAGGATCAAATGGGTTAGGTGAATACAGTAGATTTTGGCTGATTCCAGTTTCATCTGGATCAAACTGATGTGGTGTATACAGTCGATATAGGTTCAGTCCTGTTCCATTAGAATCGAACAAGTTATTGGGATCAATCTAGATAGGTGAATACTCTTCATAACGATTTAATATAGTTTCATGGGAATTAAATTGGTTTGGAGAATTTCAGACTCTACAGCTAGAATGGAAGGAGAGAGGACTATGAATACAGAGCGTGAACGAATGATGCTTGTTTTAGTCCACCTTTTTGTTCACTTTTTCCACTTTTTAAAAAATTTCCCAGACTGCTTTCCAGCCGCTTCGTGAAGCGATAGATTTACGAGAGAACATTCAGTGTGCTATGATAGGCTTCAAGGAGTCATGTGGTCTGGCATCGATGGCTAACCTCAAGCAGTGTGTCAGATCATTGTTCAATCGTTTAGCAAAGACGACTGAACCAGTCTCATTGATGGTTGAGATGGAAGGAGATTCAACGGTGCTCAGGCTAGAAGGAAATACACCTAATGTACTCAGGAAAGCAATAACAGCATACACTGCAGTATGTATACCTCTTTGTAGCTTTCTATCTCTTTGCATGCCCTCATCTCTCTTTCTTTCTTTCTTTCTCTCACTCTTCCCCCCCCCCCCCCCGCCCTCTCTCTGTCTTTCTCATTTCTCTCTCATCCCCACCCTCCCTCTCTCCTCCTCCTCTCTCTCTCTCCCTCTCTCTCTTTCTCTCTCTCAGTCTCTATTTCTCTGTCTCCGCCTCACTCTTCCTCCATTTTTTCTTTTCTTTCCAGTCCTTATTTCCTGTATATGTGATAAGATTAGTCGAAAATTTATTTATGTCATTTCACTGGGTTGATGCTCAACAGTGTATTACATGTATGGACATGAATCTCCTGTCATTTTAGTATCAAAAAATTCTTCATAGTGTCCGTCTTACTGTGAACCATACTGAAAAACGTCTAAAATACAAAGCTTCATAATAGTTTTCTATTTGCTAAATGCTGTTAATAATAGTAATGGTAATATTCTGCCTTTAGACAGCACTTTAGTTCATCTACAATGTCTCTGAGCACTATACTGGTATATTAGATTCAAGATTTCCCACACAAATATGTATACACATTCTCCACTCCTTGGGGAGTATTCCAGCCAGGTGCCATATATCACAGTTGCTCAAAACGTTGAACAAACTACATGTACAACAACATTCCCTTCCTACTGGGTACCCATTTAACACCTGGGTAGAGGATGGCATATGTGGATTCATGTCTTGCCAATGGACAGTAGTGCCAGGCTGGAATTCCAAACCTCAAACTTTGGATTGAGAGTCAATGAATGAACCACTATACCACAGCACTTCTCAGTTACTACCTGGGTCCTGTTTCATAAAACTTGTTATCAATAACAAGTTACAATATATTTTATAAGCTACTGAAATCATATAATTTGATTGGCTGAGGGCTAATTTGTCATAGAAATTTAGCATTTGATATTAACTTTTATGAAACAGCGCCTAGGACCCTGTTGCATAAATCTTATCATTGATTGTAACTTTGTCATCAATGGCAACTACCATGGTAAAAGGGCTGAACAGCCAATAAAAATCAAGGTTTTCATGGTAATTACCATTGATGGCAGAGTTACCATCAATGGTAGGTTTTATGCAACGGGCCCAGATCTTGTTCTCTTCCCCCTCCAAACACCCAATCATGATCACAGAGGTCGTGACCCCCAGGTTACCGAGCATGACTATAGAATGTATTTATTGATTTACCTTTTACAGCTTGTAGAAGAATGCAAGAAGCTGACGGAGCAAGCAGAAGGGATCTCAGTCAGACTAGATGAGGCACATACAGCAGGCATGCAATATCATGTAAGTTTTCATTATTTCCCATTTTGACTATCGAAGTACATGTAGGTACAATAATTCATAACAGGTGAATGAGATAATCTGTAACATGGCACTTATTAAACAAAGATATGTGCACTTCATAGACCAGTTCATGGTTAGCACATCTCTGCAATGACCCCGAATATCCACAGATCTTCAAAACATGAAGAGGTCCCACTTTGTACGTTTTGAAATAATCACTCCTTCAGCGATGGAGGTGCTACATAAATAGCCTTCGTTTCCCCTTTTTCAAAGAATACTTCCACCTGTGTATCATGGAGTGAAGTGAATGTGCATGAATGAATAATGATCACATAACTTTCATGAGTACGTTTCCAGTATTTCGTCTCCGTGTATTTCAAAATTTATTCTGCAATGACCTTTATCTGCTCATGCTCAGACTGCTACCATGAACCGGCTCATTTGATTACATTATGAAAACAGTGTATTTTTCTTTAACCTCACTCCCTCTTGTTTATATATCCTTCTCCGTATCATCCCCCCTTTATACATCTCATCATGTCTGTCTACCCTCCTCCTCTTCAATTGGTGAATTGCTGTTTGGGCCACAACCAGCTCATCTACTAGTCTATTAATCTATTGTTCATGAAGTCTAATAAACATTTAGTCTAATTCCCAGTTTTTCTAATGCCCATTTCATCAACCATCCATAAGGGCTAATTAACATTTGATGCTGAATAATATTATATATGATTAAATGATTATTAAACCATATGGATAGTAGACGAAATGGGCATCAGACAGTCTGAGTATTAGAAGGACTGGAAATTAGACCAAATGACTACTAGCCTGAATGCTCATTAGACCAAATGATAAGTAGCCAACATGATTGTTAGACCATGTGGATAGTATTAAACGGGCTGGGGTTAGACCATATGGGAATAGACCCTAGACTATTTTGGTAGAAGATGAACTAGTTGTAGACCAAATGGCGATAAACCAATTAATCTTCCTCTTATTAATTCTGGCAGGACAATTTGACTGAGCTCCTTAGTAAAGAAGGCATCAAGGGACGTAAGCTAACAAGAGTAAGTATCACATCGATACATGTCACATTGGATGCTCAATTCTTAGTCAAAAGTGAATCTAGACAAGCCAAAATTCTGCCCTCGGTATTTTGTTGTCTTTCTACAGAGCAATTTCACCACTTTATATGGCACACAAATAACCCCCCCCCCCCCCCCCCCCCTGTGCCATAGTATCTTTATCATGGAAGAGATATACCAAAGGCTTCAAGATTATATAACTGTTTCCAGTGCAAGATTACTCTAATGTCAAACGGTTGTTATAGAGCTTATCAAGGCCAGAAGTGGGTAATTTTACAAAGCCATTGTGCTGCAACAGTGCAGAGAGTACAGTAACAGACTGAGATTAATGCCTTTTTCTTGCAAAAACATCTTCATAAAAAGTCTACAAAAAAATTCTGTACTCCTAATTTTGCTTTGAAAGATTTTTAATCTTTGCTAAGAAAGGTTGGCAGGTATGATACATGTATATGCATATGCTCCCGAGTTGTAAAGATGTCTTGTTTTTTCATACAGTCAACAGAGAACTTTTCTTGGAACATCCGGGTTTTGAAAGGTCAGAAAGAGATCATCATGAGTGCTAAGGATGAATGCCAGGAGTGGATGAAACAGGTATTGGATTGTAGTGTATTTATAATGCTATTTATGTATTTTTAAACCACCTTTTTTAGAGTTTATTTTGTAATTTTCCTCCATTTTTAAAATTATAATAAAGGCCATTAAAAAAAAAGTTCATGTTTAGCGTCTCTGCCCGCTTTCTTTTCTGAGGCCGCCTGCTTCTTTTTTCTCAGTTAGTTTTACAGCTTCATTCAAATCTTTGTTATATATTATACACATCTTGATTCTTTTTTTCTTTTTTTTTAAAACCAGATTTGGTGATAAACTTAAACTGAATTGAGTTCAATTATAAGAACAACCAAATATGTTGAAGGGAAATCCAAAGTTGATTGCAAACTACTCTGCTTTCATTTAAATTAACTTCTTACAAGGGTTGGATTGCCCTTTGATGAGGAAGAGCATTACTTACATTTACCAATATAAAATTATTTCTCTGTAATGTACTTTGATAAAGTTTAATGTTGATGCCCAATGTTGTTATTGTTGAATGGAATTAATAAAGAAGCAAACTCTCTTGGTTTAGATACACTTAGTAGTAGAACAAACCCTTATGCTTTTTATCATGGGGAATTTTTCAAGAAATCACATGTTTAGTGTTCACTTTTTTAGGATAAGATTTTACCATTGACCATATTTTTTTGTAATGTTACCCGGTAAGTAAAAATCAGTCCTCATTTTTAAGCTGTTATTTGTCATATTTAGAATATGAAGGCATTTGAGGACCCATGCTTTTCAGGGAACATTTTTTAATCTGATGTACTTCAACACTTGAATAATACAATGATAACGCTCACAAATTATTTTTCACCTCTTCCCAAAACTCAACCTTCTCTTTAAGTTTGGTGTATGTATATTTCAATATTTCATTATTTATTTTTGTCCCATGTCTTTGCAGGTGTATGAGACAGCAACGTCACTAAAGCAGGCACATGAGGGCGATATCCAAGAAGACGAAGATGAAAGTAGATGATCCTTTATTCCTGATAGAGGGCAGTGTTTACATCTGTTGTAAAGAAAACTATACAAACTTTGACCCTCGAACTAATCTGAATCAAGATGCTGGTGGTAGCCATGGTTATCCGCAGGCTGTCCTCTTGTCGTGACCTTTGACCTTGCATCAGCTGTAAAGCTACTTGGAGCCATGGTAGTCCACAGGAAGGGACCTCTACTCTCTATGACCTTTGACCTCTGAACTGATATTGGTAATGAAGCTGTTTGAATCAATGTGTTAATTGAAGTGACTATGACCTCACAGAAAGGTCAACTATAGTTGCTCAGTGTATCTTCAATCATGAATGGGAAATTTCTCACAAAGACCCTTTATATGGTTCGGGTTTTCAATTTCTCTTATGTTATTTCAAGTGGTCAATACTGGTGTATATTGAAATTGTTCGGGGATTGCTGGTATATCTCCTAGTCCTCATCGTTTATTGAATATTGTCTTCTGTGTTACCACCGCTTGTAATCAAACAGGCTTGCTACATATAGTCTTGGTTCAGGCATACATAAGAAAATGGGTGTACGGTCTAACTTAATATATTGTGTATTGGTACTACTCTAGCTATATGTCTACTAGCTTAATACAAAAACCACAATTAAAAACAGTATTCATGGAGTGGTAGTCTGAAAATGATGTTATCTTTAACATGTATGTTGGTAAATCAATGAAACACATAATTATCATAACAAATCAAAATTAGAAGAAATCCTCACTTAAAGATAAGCTTGAGTTCTGGTAAATGTAGAACAAAAAAACTCACAGAATCCAAAACAACTGCTGCAACCCAGTGGTTTCTGTATTAAACCCATGGGGTATATGAGAAATCTGTAGTCAATGCGTTAGCATATTTTCGTAACGTGAAAGATAGCATCATTTCAGAATACACCCTCTGAATCTAATAATGAATGATACAGTAATCATCAAAATTTGGATATTGTATGGAATATTGGTTATATAAGTGATGATAGTGAACACTTTCACTCAATCTCACTCTTTTATCTTAAAACGCTCAATTTTTTTATATTTTTAGTTTGTAGATCTTGTTATCATTCTTAGTTTATGCATCATTAGTGTTTTTGTTTGTTTGTGCAATACTTTTTTTTAAAGATTTTGCCAAAAGTGACTCTGTCTCTCTTGCCATGTTCAGCACCCTAGTAACTATGCAAACCATATACGTGTGCAGGGAATAATTTTCCCGGTATCGCATCGCAATTTGCGACGCATTTTCAGCCATTTGCTACACATCTTTTTTTATGAATCGCAATTGCTGCGATGCAAATGCAAACATACATGTTTAAGGGTGGGCTCATCACACCTCTGTACAAGTACAAGTGCGAGTGAGAAGCCCGTTTCGCGATCTGAATAATCTGAATTACTAGGCTAGCTCATCACACCTCAGTACAAGTGCGAGTGAGTAGCCCGTTTCGCGATCGCCGGCCCTGTAAATCAGAATACAGGGCCGGCGATCGCGAAATTGGCTACTCACTCGCACTTGTATGTTTGCATTTACAGCGTCTACTGTGCGTGAAGTATACTGCAGTCACTCTCTAACCGTGAAGCTTATACACATACACCCATTGTCGCGCAAGCACATGGCATGCTACGATCACCTTCTGACCGCGATTGTTGTTTTGAGGCATGGTTCGCGCGATCATTGCACAATGCAATGACAATGCACGTGGGATCTAATTACATGCATCGCATGTGCGCGATGATTCAAGATTCAAGATTCAAGATTTGTTTATTTCTTTCCACTTGCATAAAAAAAACATTTCATTCAGTAACAGTAGTAACAAGTTCATCGTAAACTAGCATAAAAACATTAACAATGAAACAGTTATAAAGACTTTAACAAATGTGGAAAAAGAGGTGGTCTGTTAAAAAAGCACAGCTTGTTAAAACACAGATCACCTTTACAGAAACAACATTGTTTTAAAGAAGTAGGTTATATTACAGGGGGAGGGGGACTAATACTAATCTAGTTACCTATACAGACTATAAATAAATATCAGATCTACCACTAATTTACAAAATATGGTAGACTAAAAAAAAAAACAGAATAAAGATAATGGAAAAGTAAAGAAATAGGGGAAGGAGGATAATGTACAACACGGGGGGGGGGGGGGGGGGGGGGGGGGGGGGGGGGGGGGGACAATGCTATTCCAGTTACCTATATTGAATACTAATAAAAATCAGATCTATTCACTGTAGGTGTACAGTAGATGAAATTTCAGCTTACGTTTGAAGACAGAAGAGCTTACAGACAGTCTAATAGAACAGTCTAAAGAGTTCCAATACTTTGGTCCAGTATGTGCAAGTGTATTAATCCTAAGCTGAGTTCTAGCTGATGATACATGGTATAAGGCAGCCTGCCTAGTAGAGTATTTGTGTACTTGGTTATTCTTTACAAAAATAGATGCTATTGACATGGGAGCTTCACCCTTCTCCAACTGATACATAAGATATCCCAGATATAGAAAATATATATCTTTTACCTTCAGCATTTTATTTTCGTAAAATAGCTTGTCAGTGTGAGCACGCCAATCAGCTGCCGAAATAATTCTCACTGCTCTCTTTTGAATGAGCAGAATTTTATTTAAGTAGGATTTGGCTGAGGCACCCCAGGCTAGCACACCATAATTTAAGTATGGCAAAATTAAGGAACAGTACAACATGCTAAGTACTTTTTGGGAATACAAACTTCAATTTGTTGATCATACCAACATTTCTAGAGAGCACTTTACTTAAATGAGTAGTATGCATCTTCCAAGTCAATTTATCATCAATGTGGAGACCTAAAAATTTAATAAATGAGACCTTTTCAATATTTACCTGATCAAAGACTACGTTACCAGGCATTACTGTTTCACTATTACTGAATAACATATGTTTAGTTTTTAATAAGTTTAGTGACAGTTTATTTGCATGAATCCATTTAGTCAAAACACAAAGCTCTCTATTTACAGTTTCTAAAAGAGTATTTAAGTTTCTATGAGAACAGAATACACTTGTATCGTCTGCAAATAGCAAAAAAGAAAACGTCTCTGAGGATTTTGGAAAATCATTTACATATAAAATAAAAAGCAGGGGACCCAAAAGGGAACCTTGAGGTACTCCACACGTGACAGGTAACATATCTGAACAAATTTCGCCGAGCTGCACAAATTGCTGTCTGTTACTAAGATAACTTCTAAACCATTCGAGTGCAGGTCCTCTTACCCCATAATAAGAGAGCTTGTGCAACAAAATATTATGGTTCACCGTATCAAAAGCTTTGGAATAATCCAAAAATATACCAACCGTATGGAGGTGTTTATCAAGTGCCGAAGATATTTTGTCTAAAAGACATAAAACAGCATGAGAAGTTGTGTGTTTCTCGCGAAAACCAAACTGAGAATTTGAGAAAACTTGACACGACTTCAAAAACTTTATCAATCTAATATATACAAGCTTTTCCAAAATCTTGGAGAATACAGTAAGTAGAGAAATTGGTCTATAATTACCAGTTTCTACAGGGTTCCCTTTTTTATATATAGGCACAACTTTAGCTATTTTCATTTTTTTAGGAACAATTCCATGCATTAAAGACAAGTTATAAATGTGAGTGAGAGGTACGACTACAAATGAAATTACTTCTTTTATCAAATCATTAGTTATACCATCGTATCCAGGGCTCTTCTTCCTTTTCAAGCCACTTACAACATCTATAACCTCAGAATTCACTACAGGAACAAAAAATAAAGACTTTTCATTTGGACTGGTTAAATAATTTCCATAGGTTTCCTGTATATCAGGTATGGAGCTAGACAGAGTAGCACCAATGTTAGAAAAATATTCATTAAATGCTTCACACATAAGTTTCTTGTCTTCAATAAGACCATCCTTCCAGGTGAGTTTTGTAATACTCTGTAGTTTAGGATTGGTTTTCAAGACATTTCGAATAACTTTCCATGTACCTTTAACATTATTACACGTAGACTGGAATTGAAATTGATAATAGTCTTTCTTTGCTTGGCGCAGAGCAGAAGTCAATATATTTCTATAGTTAGTATACTTAAGCTTGGCTACACCAGTCTGCTTTGCTTTGTATCTACAAAACAAACGATTCTTTTTATTTATTGACCTGAGTAAAGACTTAGTGACCCATGGCATACGAGGTACTCTTTTATATTCTTGCTTACTTCTTTGCACCAAGGGAAAGCATCTGTCATAAGATAACACCATTATATCCATGAATTTATCAAAAGACTTATCAACTTCTGTTTCACATAAAACTTCGTTCCATTCAACAGTTTCCAATTCTCTCTTAAATTTTGTTATATTTCCCTGAGTGAATTTCCGTGTTAACTTATCACAGGATTCAGTACAAGAACTCCTTAATGCTAAAGATGTTCTAGCAAATATAGGGAAATGATCCGATATATCGGCCACTATTATACCAGCAGTGGGAATAGGGTGCAAATTGGTGAAAATATTGTCAATTAAGGTTTGTGAGTTATCTGCTACTCTAGTTGGCTTATTAATCAGAGGAATCAAAGAAAATGTACTTAAAGTATCAACAAAATTATTAACAGAGTTATCGTGATCATAACTTAATAAATTTATATTAAAATCACCCATAATAATTATTTTTTTATTTCTGGATAATGGGCTTGAAAGAGTGTTAGACAATTCTTCAATAAATTCATTCACATCACCATTTGGTGGCCTATAGACTACTCCCACTAACAAGTTTTTTTCTCCAGGAATTATAATTTCAACAAATAGAGATTCTAGTGAATCATTCATAATGTACAATTCTATTTTTGTATGACACTCAAATGAAATGGGAATATACATTGCTACACCACCACCGGATCTGCTTTGTCGATCATTAGTGATTAGTTGATACCTAGGAAGATCGTACATGGCAGTTGGATGACTAGAAAACCAAGTTTCAGTGATTCCAATTATTGGGTACTTATCCTGAAAAGTGTCCAAAAACAAGGAAAGCCTGTCAAAATTTGCATTCATGCTACGCACATTAAAGTGCAAAAAGGACGTTTCATTGGCAGGACAGTTTTCTAAATGTTCAGAAAATTGTTTTTCAGTAAAATATTTTGAGTCGTGCACTGTAGCTTCAACCTCGTCATTCAACATATATTCAAAATGTGTTGCATTCATATTCAACTCTGCAACAATATTATCATCAGACTGAGTGTG